TGGGGAGCCCCCCCCTCGGGCGGGGCCGGGTCTGGGGGTGCCCGGGGGGGTCCCCACGAGCCCGGTGCCCCCCAGGCCCCAGCACGACGTGCGCCGAGGACTCGTGTGCCCACGGGGGGGTTTGCCTGCAGCAGTGGGACGGCTTCACCTGCGACTGCAGCATGACGGCCTTCGGGGGGGCTGGCTGTGCCGAGCGTGAGTGGGGGGCTCGGGGGTATTTGGGGGGCTCAGGAAGGCTCCAGAAAGCTCAGGGGGGCAGCTGTTCCCAGTTTGAGTGAGGGGCACGAGGAGATCTGGGGGGCTCGAGGGTCTCGGGAAGGCTCAGGGGGCTCAGGGGGGGGGGCGGCTGTGCCCAGTTTGAGTGGGGGGCTCGGGGGGATTTGGGGGGCACGAGGAGACCTGGGGGGCTCAGGGGTCCCGGGGTGGGGGGCACCCCACAGCGGGAGGAGCCCTTGAGCCTCACGGGGAGCCCCTGACGGGGGGGGGCGGGTGGCCCTTGGCCCTCCCGGGGGACACGCGTGGCACCGGCACCGGCCGGGTGTCCCCACACGGGACAAATGTCCCTTGACACGTGCTCTGTGTCCCCGCTGAGCGAGGGCAGGTGACAGCTGGGGTGTCACCTGTGTGTCACCTGTGTCACCTGTGTGTCCGCTCTGTGTCCCTCGTGTCCCTTGCTCCAGGTGTCCCCTGCACGAGGGCTCAGTGTCCCCTAACGAGGGGCAGGTGACACCTGTGTCCCTCACGGGGGGGTCCATGTCCCCCCCACGTCCCCCCAATGTCTGGGTGTCCCCCCGGTGCCTCCCCCATGTCCCCTGTCCCCACCCCCCCTCCAGGTGAGTCCCGGACAGCGCCGGCCTCTGCCCCACACCTGAGTGGGGACACGTGGGGGGGTTTGGGGCTGCTCCGTGGGGCAGGGCAGGGTGTGGGGACACTGCTGTGGGGCGCTGCCACCGCCGTGGGGCTCCGTGGGGCACCCGTGGGGCACCGTGTGACACTGTGGAGCACCGTGGGGCTCCGTGGGGCTCCGTGGGGCTCCGTGGGGCTGCCGTGGGGCTCCGTAGGGCACCGTGTGACACTGTGGAGCCCCGTGGGGCTCCGTGGGGCTGCCGTGGGGCTCCGTGGGGCTCCGTGGGGCTCCGTGGGGCTGCCGTGGGGCTCGCCGCCCCCCGAGTGTCGCCGTGGGGCCGCCCGCGCTGTCCCCGAGCATCCGTGGGGCGCGGGCACATGGCTGTGGGTCCCCGCGGGGCTCTGTGGGTCACGACGTGGGGCGGGGGGTGCTCTGTGGGGCTGCGGCGACCCCCGTGGGGCTCCAGCGACCACCGTGGGGCTGCGGCGACCCCCGGCCGTGCCCG